GTGTGCACCAAATATCTCATTGGATGATGGCATATGACATATGTAAGTTTGTTTTGGTATATTTTTTAAGGTTAGATATTACCCAAACTTTGGGTAATAAGTTGATATGCTGCACTGCAGTGTTCCACCCACTGTAGAACCATACAATGCTGCATGGGAGCTGCTAGCAATTTGTTTGCCCTCTCTGCTCGACCCTCCCTGGTGCTCGACCCTCCCCTCTGCTCGACCCTTCTCTCTGCTCGACTGCCCTTCTACTCGACCCTTCCCTCTACTCGACCCTCCCCTCTGATCGACTGTTCTCTCGGCTCGACCGTCCCGTCCGCTCGAGCGTACTCTCCGCTCGACCCTCCTCTCAGCTGGACCGTCCTCTCTGCTCGACCCTTTCCTCTGATCGGTCCAGCATAGCATGCTGCGGAATTGGCTTTGTGTTCCCACTCGGTGCAGCTGTTGAATGCAGCAGAGGGCGTTCAAAAAACGATCGAGCCCGGAAGGAAAACCGATAGTTCCTGGGGCGGTGCGGCGGCCGGCTGTTTCTGACCACGTGGCCCGGCATGGAACGGACACGTGTGACGCCAACGGCGAGGGTTTGTCGACGCGACGTGGCACGGGATAGTCCGACATCGTATCTGTGGGCGCTGAGCAGCCGGCTGGCTGCCCCGAAGGGATAGCAGGCACGGGATAAAGTAAACAGAGCACTTAGAAAACAGGTTAACATATGACAGGAGGGCGGGTAGACAGGGCTGCGGAGTCGATGGATTTTCGGCGACTCCGACTCCGACATCGACTCCGGCTTTCAAAAACCAGCTCCGACTCCGACTCCGACTCCGGGCAGAATTGTCGACTCCGACCGACTCCAACTCCCGATTCCGACTCCGCAGACCTAGCAGGACTGCGGAGTCGACAGATTTGCGGTGACTTCGACTCCGACTCCGGCTCGGGTTTCTAAAATCGACTCCGACTCCGACTCCGACTCCGGTCACAACTGTCGACTCCGACCGACTCCGACTCCGACTCCGCAGCCCTGCGGGTAGATCAGAGAGGTGAAGGGACATAGAGAACCTTTAAAGCCGCGTTCAGCTGATCAATTAGCACGGAAAGTTTTTTTTTTTTTGCCCAATAGCCCAGTCATGTAAGTCAATCAATATCTTATCCTACTTGATGCAGTCTCCAACATTGAGTTTCGCACTCTCGTTTGCGTGAGGGATGCGACATGACCGTGAGGTGACGTATGACCGGACGGCTGGCATAAGACATTGTATGCACCGCATCACGGAGCCTTCGATATCGGAAACTCTTTCACTCATTCAGCATGCAGCTGCAAAACTATTACAATGAGTCGTATTGAGTAGTAATGACGATAACCGATGCCTTTTAAACGTCCGGTATTAAATCGAAGACCGTTGAGTTAGTTCGGATTATATGGATTTACGATGGAGGTAATCTTTGGAAACTTATTCGTGCATGAATATACAGAGAAGTGACTATCGTTGGCGGGGAAGGGTGGATCCGGATAACCATCGCTCGAATTTCAATTGTCTCACCATCTGGCATCTGCATCACAGTGAACCGTCACAACGGCATAAGATAATTAGGCAATTACACATCTTGTGTACTTGTTTATTTGTTTAACGTTGGTATTGATGCGGAACTTCCGCATTCTGGAATTCTGTGCGGAAGCGTTCGATGGACGACAACGGCCATATTTAAAGGTTATGTTTTATACCAGACATGCCGGTAGGATGGCCTGTATAACGCCCTTACGTGCCTCTGTGCTGCTGACAGTGGTGCGTGCGGACGGAGCGCCGGCGGCAGCCATGAGTCTGGCAGCGGAGGAGTTCCACACAGACACCGGCGGCGCCCACTACCGGGACGGCGCCATCGACCTGGTGGCCGGCTCGATGGGCGGCGTGGCCAGCGTGCTGGTCGGACAGCCGCTCGACACCGTCAAGGTAAAGATGCAGGCCTTCCCGGAGGTTCACACCAACCTGCTGGGCTGCTTCCGCACCACGTTCGCCGGCGACGGTCTGCGCGGTCTGTACGCCGGCACGGTGCCCGCGCTGGCAGCCAACGTGGCAGAGAACTCGGTGCTCTTCTGCGCGTACGGCTTCTGCCAGAAGCTGGTGGCCCGAGTGACGCGCACGCCCGACGTGGCCGAGCTTTCCGTGATCGGGAACGCCACGGCCGGCTTCGTGGCGGCGTTCTTCTCGTCGTTCACGCTGTGTCCCACCGAGCTGGTCAAGTGCCGGCTGCAGGCGATGCGTGAGACACACGGCCAGCTGGACGTGGGTCCGTTCGGACTCACCAAGCGGATCCTGCGCGCCGAGGGCGTGCCGGGCCTGTTCCGCGGCCTCACCGCCACCATGGCCAGGGAGATGCCCGGCTACTTTTTCTTTTTCGGTGGCTACGAGGCGACGCGCGCCCTGCTGACGCCGGCGGGTCTGACCAAGGACGAGATCGGCGCGGCGCGGACGATCGTGGCCGGCGGTGTGGGCGGTATCATGCTCTGGGTGGCCATCTTCCCGGCTGACGTGGTCAAGTCGCGCATCCAGGTGGAGGGTTCGCGCGAGCCGATGTTGCGCGTGATGCGCACCATCCTGCAGAAGGAGGGCGTACTGGCGCTGTACAACGGGCTCGGACCGACGCTGCTCCGCACCTTCCCCGCCACGGGCGTGCTCTTTCTGGCCTACGAGCTGACCAAGAAGAGCCTGCACAGCCTCTTCGGCTGACCGCGGCCGGACTATCATCTGAGACGTCGTATGTGCCTTGTGCCCAGATCGATACGCTTTTAGGAAAGATCTACTCTAGGTGCCTTAGAGGGTTCATAGCGCCTTTGCAGTAGCGCCTTTGCAGTTTTCATAGCAATGGTATGTTCAGGGATCGAAACTCTGCCAGTTTTTTATGTTTATTTTTAGATGCAGTAGCCCCTTACACCATAAGGGTTGCTCATTTAGCATTTAGGTATGTGATACCCAGACGTTTTTCGTAGTTTCCTTGACCTGCGCGTGGCCATACATTGGTGTTAATGCTTCTAGTGAGGTCAAGAAAACTAATAAGGCTTCGAGAATATATATGCTAGCATTGTCTGGTTTCATCTGAAACACCTTGGATTCGGTGTTCAAGGGATGCGGATTTTTCAGCGGTACTTTAACAGCATTTGACCGGAATGATAACTATTCATGACATGTAGTGCCTTGCAGGTTGATATTGCGAAATGGTGCATTAATGCATTTCATATCCACTGTATCTTGCAATTAGCAATGGAATGCGGGTGCCTATGCGTCTCAGGCTGACATGTTTCTGTTGGTGCTGATGGTAAACTGGTGAGCGGTATAGTTACAGAGATTGCCATGAATGTGTGTCGCTTCAGCGACAGATCTGAGCTTAGCCTTTTGGCCAAATTTTATATGCCCTGCATTTTTCAACGAGACAACTTGATGAGTCATGTTAGGACTCGGATAAAAATGTGATTTCAAGTGCCAAAATGTTTATCCTGTGGGGTCGATGTTACGTCGTGCGACTCTATGTCATGTAGCCACTAGCCAGTATGTCTTAGATACGATCGAAAGGAGGGATCATTTATGATATTTGTAGATTTGTAGTCGCCTTGCTAGGTCGCCTTGATGTGAAGGGAAATCGTGTGTACCTGTACAGCCGCTGGCTGAACAGAAAAGACCTATGTGGTTTTATGTAACCTGCGCTGCTGCATAGAGCGTACTTATGAAAAGACTACAGTGAATGACGAATAAATGAAAGCCCGATTCACGTTTTAGTTTTGTTGCTGAGCACTTGTTTCTTCATATGATTCGTATGGAAAGTACATGGCTTTTGGCCATAGGAGCTAATACTACTTGAAGTATTATGAAAATGTTTTTTTTTTTCTTTTTGCCGAAAATGGTTATGAGATGAGTGGTTGTTGAGCCGGCTCACAAACCGAAAATTGTTGTTGTGAGCTGTAGCGGATACGCCGTTGCACGTGTTTGGTTCGTCATTCGTGATAGAATGGGAAAGGCTTTATGGGGTTATGAGCCTGCCACAAAGGCGTATCAACATTTTGTGATTGGCGAGCAATGAGCATATTAAATGATATAGGGCATTGGACGGTATCTGTGCATGTCTATGTATGGATTTGGTTGGAGTGTTGGCAAGGGCGCGGGAACTACTTTCAGACTAGGAGGGGGGGGGGGGGGGGGCACGCCAGAATGGAGATCAACCTAGGGTACCCCCACAGATCTAGTTTTCTCACCGGTTTTAGGCCACTTATTTTTCATCCCTTAGCTTTTTCAGCAAAAACGAAAACATTTGCAAAAAAGGTGCGGTATTCCGTCTCAAAGTTGTGGGGCACCGCCCTCGCGGCCCCAGAGTTGGGGGGGGGGGGGGGGCCAGCTGCCCCTACTGCTCCCCGGTTCCCGCGCCATGATGTTTGGGAACTTACACGCAAGCTTACACGAATGAGGGAGAGAAAGAATAGTGGAGTTATGAACTTGAAAGTTGAAGGCACACATGAACAACATATACCCTGGCATTATAATTGCTCTCAATTTTGTTATCTGCTTTGCGGCTTTGCCCTATATACCCTCAGGGTATATAGGGCCTTGAGGGTATATAGAACTTGTATAGAACAACATATACCCTGGCTTTGCCCGCTGGCACTGCCCTTTTAGTGCCGGATATTCGGCGTCAATGTCGGTGAAATGTCAGTGAAATAGATGACTCAAAGTTTTGCAGTACAGTAGCACTACACTTTTCACGTATATGACGCAGCGGCTTCAATGATTTTCACAGTGGATTTTCACTGTCTGTTTCCGGGGAGCATTCCGGTCTAGGGGTAAGATACTTGCCTCTAGATTCGGCCATCCGGGTTCGATTCCCGGGCGATGCACGTGGCATTGCCGCTACCTGACCGCTTGGAACAGCGTGAGAGTTCCGGTTAGCACCTTGGTCCACTGGATGTGGTGCTTAACCCAATACCAACCTACCAACCTACCTGTCTGTTTCCATTTGATTCAAGGCCCTATATACTATTTGATTTCATGATTGGCATTTCAATTTGATTGGGGGTAGTCACTGGTCGGACCAGTTCAGTTCAAGTTTGGGAATTAAGTTCGAGAGAGGTGGGCTGATAAGAATAAGACCAAGACGGTAAAATACCTTGACAGTAAAATGACCAAATGTCTTTGAATTTTGAAATGTAGAGATGTGATAATTTACTTTATTTAGCCGATATTTAGCTACCTACCAGGTTTACTAGGTACCTACTTTTGAACTTGAATAATTCGCTCCCGAATAAGGTTTTGTTATGATGAAGCTGATGAAGCACCCCTTTGTCTTCCAGAAAATTGACTTTTTTTAATGGGTAATATTATATTTATTTGCTAGCACCAAGGTTCATAAAAGTGATCTGCAAATGCCTGTACCTAGTAGCAGGTAATCTCCCAGTAAGTAAGGTGCCTCCCTGGTGCCATTTTAGACCGGCTCAAGTGTTGCCGTTCTGGAGAGGCGGGAGAGGTGCCGTCGGGGCTCTTAACAGCGCACGCATCACTGTGTTACTCAAGAATAAATAATAGAAGTTAAAAAGTAACTACCTACCTACATAGCCTTATGATTGACGGGTTATATAACTTTTGAAGTCTTAGTAAAAGTGCCACAATTTGTGTTGCGAGCTCCAGGTACATGCCCTCAGGCCACCTGCCCCAAACAGCCATCCTAGAGTGCGCCTGGTGCCTGGTGGCTGGCAGACTGAGTGAGTACTGACTGTAGATTGTGCCCATTTGTGTTGGAGCAGAGCTTCTCTCCAAATTCTGACCTGCCCATATGCATCCCACATTCCCACTTTGCCAGGATGGACAGCCAGGTGCAGCGGGAGGGCCGTCTGATCGACATTGTGGATGAGGCGTGGCGGCGCGACACGCTGCCTGAGGAGGAGATCGCTGTGCCATTGTATGAGCTGCCTGACCCGGAGCCCGACAACAGCAACAACACGGAGAGTCTGCGCCAGCAGGAGCACACGTGGAACGAGCTGGCGCTGCAGCGGCTGGCTGAGCCGCGCCAGCCGGCTGACGGCGACGTCACCATCGGGGGACGGCTGTGAGCGGGCCGGAGCCACCGCTGGAGCAGCACTGACGGTTCCACGGTACGGGCTCCGACGAGTGCCCACCCCATGCTATCATGTACTTCAGGATGAGCTCTAACCTACTGTGGCACGGGACCCGTGGCTCTCACGATTCGCGAATCATACGAGCCTTGGCGCTACACAAGGTACTGTCATCATTAACCCGCGCACCGACGGGGGTCTGCGCCAACTTTGCACCGACGTGGGGGGGGGGCGGATGACCGCCCCCCCCCTGAGATCTCGAGAACGAAGCAAGATAGCGACAAGCGGTAAACGGCATCGGATACGCACGGACAAGGTCTACAATTTTTACTAAGGTCATTTTCAGGTCAGGTCAAAGATGACGTCACAGGGGTCGAAAAAGTCAAAATGGCGGCGCTAGATATGGAGAGAGTTTTTCTCGAATAACTTTCGAATTAGTCAAGATAGGAACAAACTAAGGGCATCATCGTGATCCTCTCGTCAATCCGCATCGAATGATATATTTGTTGACCTCGAAAGGTCAAGGTCAAAGGTTGACCTCAGGTCACGTGACCTCGAGGTCATCATGTATATCATTCGATGCGTCTTGACGAGCTGAACACAATGAGACCATCCGCGCGGCTGTATCTTGTTCCTGTACGGAGTTATTGGCAAAAAACCGCTGGTGACCTTTGATGACGTCACATGACCTTACAGCTGCCCAACAGCAAAACAGACCTCAAGGTAGTGAAGGTTGATCGTATATGAAGTGATGTATGGTATATGGGGCCATTCCGACCCGTTTTAGTGGTAAAAACAGGGAGTTGATTTTCCCCCATTGACTTATAATGGGGAGGTCGCGAAATTGACCTGACCTTAGGTCACCGACATCAAAATTCCGAGATATACAAATTGTAGCTACTAATGACCTAATAACATCCTGCGACTTTCAAAGGCCTCCGACATCTACTGTAGCTCTGGCACGGTGACAAAGTTGCAAAAAAGTGACTTGAGGTTGGTTCATTCAAAGTGACCTGGTGACCTGACCTTGAAAGTTAGGAGGTTCAAACTTGCACACCATGTGTAAAATTGATGAGAGAATAGTCATACCAAATTTCGCGGCGCTACGCGCCGCGGTTTTCCCGCTATCCGCGAAAAACCTCAGGGGGGGGGGGGCGGATATCCGCCCCCCCCCCGTCGGTGCGCGGGTTAAACGAGCTGATATTACCGGACTTTTACAGTGCGAGCTTATACGCTTATGAGCTTATACAACTTTTTCACGTCGCGAGCTCATTCGTAACTCTTTCACGGTACGGGTTTATACGGTCCCGTTTATGGTACGAGGCTATTGCGAACCCCTTTTGCCGTGCACGGTAATACGCAATTATTCCATGGCACGGGCCCATACGGACCTCTTTTGCGTTACAAACTCATTCGCAACCCTTCCACCGTACCAGCTCATGTGAACGTAACCGAACCGCCGTTTTCCTTTATGCCTGTATGACCGCTAAATTCTCAGAAGCGTTCATACAACCTTAGCGCTTTCTCTTCTCCTGCAAACAAGCTTCTTGTAGAAGTTCGAGAGTTTCTATTGTTTACCCTCAGATGGCCGAGCTGCCCACGCTGGGGGAGCAGTGTGGACTGGCCTCGTGCCGGCAGCTGGACTTCCTGCCCATCGCCTGCCAGCACTGCGCGCGCTCCTTCTGCCGAGACCACGCCTCCGCGGACGCCCACGGCTGCGACAAGCGGCCTGAGCCGGCCCAGGTGAGCCATGAGGGACGGTCGGCGGGACTGGGGACACACATACTGGGTCACATGGAGCTGAGAGTTGTGCCGTAAGGTCCCACCGAGGTGTATGTGGTTTGGATGTTTTGATTGGTAACAGGATGCTTGTGTGATACAGGCTTGGTGCTTTAATCGGTCCCTAGTTTTTTTTTTTTTTTTGCATGATTGTATTTAGAGGACATGATGAGAGGTTCGGAAAGACGGGTGATTTCGCGTCCCTCGTGTGTATGGTGTAGATGGAGCCGCTATTGGCGCTGCCGGGTATCAACCATCGCGCTAGGTGGCACTAGTGAGCTCCTGTGAGACCCGATGAGAGGCTGATGGGTCAGCCTGGTCAGCTGCCTACGGCTCCATGCGCAGCACTGAACTAAACCTTGAGCTCATCATTGAGTCGGGGATCGCAGAAATTCATCAGCGTCTTCCTTGCAACAATTTTCAATGTGGTTCACCCTTTTGGGTTTCCTTGGTACACATTTTACCGACGCACTGCGCGGTTCAGGGTCTCAGTAGATTCTAACTGAAATGTCGTAGCTCAGTCGCATTTCCACGCTGTTCCGACACTGTGTCCCCGTTCTCTCAGGCCGACCTATCGTCGAGCACGCGCATCTATGCGTGCCACGTCTCGGGCTGCGGGGCGGCTGAGCTGACGCCGGTGGTGTGTCCGGACTGCGGCCGGGGCTGCTGCCTGGCGCACCGCCACCCGGCCGGCCACGGCTGCGCCGCCTGGCAGGCGCAGCAGGCGGACGCCGCCCGCCGGCTGCCGGAGTTCCAGCGCGCCGCCGCGCTGCAGGCGGAGCGCCTGTCGGCCGCGCCGGTGGTGGTCAGCTCCGGCCGGTCGGAGCGCGCGCGGAAAACGGCGCGCCAGGTGCAGCTGATGCGTCTGAAGCAGCGCGCGGCGGGCGCCGGCTCGGTGCCGCTGGCCGACCGGCGCTACCTGCTGCTGGTGGCGCCCGGCGGCCGCGGCGCGCCCCGGCCCGTGTTCGTCAGTCGCCGCTGGACGCTGGGACGCGCCGTGGACGCGCTGACCGACCTGTGCGGCGCCTCCAACAATAACGACAGGACCGGCGGCCGGCGGCTGCTGCTGTACCGCTATACGGACGGCGGCCGGGTCGGGGACGCTATGGACACGGTGATTGAGGAGCTGCCGGACGGACAGATGGACAACGCCGAGACCGTGGTCCTCGAGTACGGTGACCCGGCCGACACGCACCGCAGCGATGTGACAAAGTATGAGCTCAAGTGACGCGTCCGCCCGCTGTCGTGTGCCGGGGGCTGACAAAGTGTCGCGTGATCTATCCTCTGGTATGTGCTTGGGGCGGGTATCTGGTCACATGATCGTGGTACGGCAACTACGTTCTGACGGACATAATTAGGAACAGGTTGACTATTCCTCTGCGCGCGTTTACATTGTATTGTTGCCGGAATGTTGAAGTTTCACTCGTATTCACTGCATGCTTCGTGTCCACATTGATTCAATAAACCCATTGTGCTAACGCTTTGTAATAATTCTCAGCGGTGATTAGATTTACGATATGTGTGGGCTTAGTTAACCCGCGCCCCGTAGGGGGAGGCCGAAACGCCCCCCCCCCCCCCCCCCACCTGTCCTTTTCCGTCGATATCTCCTAAACGGCTGGAGATATCGCCACCAAACTTTCAGGACCCCTCCGGGCATCAATTTTACACATTGTGACCAAAAAAATCCAGAGGCTATGATAGGTTGGCCACAAATGACGTCAGAATGACGTCATGTTCTGTCATTTTCGACCGAAAAAAACCTTCGCGAGAAGACCTGTCAGGCCTATAGCTTTGAAGATACAGAAAAATGATCAAGACATAAAATGTGTAGAATTGACAGGGCTACAAAACTGCTATCTCGGATTTTTAATTTTTTATTGAGTTTTGACCCCCAAAAAAATCAAAAAAATTGATATATTAACTAAAAAAATAGAAAAAATTGAGGTTCAAAAAACCGGAATACATGTGATAGTACCTACCGTCTTCTATCTACATACCCAATTTCAGATCGATACCTCGTTTTTCGGCCAAGTTAAAGCGAAAAAACTTCAAAAATGATGACGTCAAATTTTCAAACTCAATTTTTGGCAATTCTAGACCTCGTAGGGCAAAACAAAGACCACCGTTAGACTCCCCGTGACGAGCTGCATCGAATCGATACCCATTTTATGCAAAAATATCAACTTTAAAATTTGACCTAATTTGACCTGACCTTGACCTGACCTTCACCAAAATGTGACCTAGGCTGGCCCCAAAGGCCGCCTAACCCACATAATCGCATTTGTCATGTAAAATGGACCATAAAACATGTATCACACGACACTTTCATATTGTGATTTGTGACCCCCGATTACCTGACCTCGCTGTGACCTGACCTGTTATCAGTGACCTCAGATAGCAAAGTATGTGTTTGACGAACAATGTACCATCGATGGTTTTCAATAAATTACCAATTTATTCGATTTCACAACACATTTCTTGAAATGCCTGTGAACGGTGAAAATCCGACCTTTTACCTGACCTGTGACGTCATCGGTTTGACCTACTATTAACGCCAGACCCCTTGAGACCCTAATTTTTCGCGATTACTTTTAAATACGTGAAGGAATTTCAACCAAGCTCAGGACATGGCCGTTTCAAGACAGGCCGAAACTTTTACAATTTAGATATTTTATCGCCATTTCAATATTTCAGGCACTTGTAATTGACTCGTAATGTTAACTGTTTTTCCATCCTGGATAGAGGCTTTCTACGTCATATGACATTAGGCTCCGCCCACGACTGCGGCATTGACCCGTGCCCATCAGCGACCTCTGTACAAACGACACCCCTGCCATCTGTGAAGGACTATGAATTTCGCTGACGCTTCACGTGCTATGAGTCAATTGCAGCAGACGGTCAAGTAAATGTTAGGCTCTTGTTGACTCTTGTATATAGGACCAAGAGGACCATCACTCCTCAACCTACTACTCAGTCGTGCTTCGAACAAACGTTAACGATTCCTAACAAATACGATTTTCGATGTAGGGTATCTGTTTGAAATACGAGCGAGCCGTATGATGTGAAGCTCAGGCAATTAACTTATTATTGCGTTGTTCGATGGTTGCATAGCGATGTACAAATCGGCAGCTACTTGGTGACATCCGACATCCCATTATCGCATTATCTGCAACGCCATAGGCTTTAAATACAGGTGAATATTTCCTAACCTTATGTCAGTTATATGCCATCTGCCCGTCATTTGCAGCTTATAAAAAAAGAAATATATCAGCGAACATATCAGCATTGTAGAAGCAATGCGCATTGAGCATTTATGACTCCTGAGTCATCATGTCGCTCTCTGGGCACTGTCAGCCAAGACGCTACGCACAACTCCGCCGGCTTTCGGCACCGCTCGACCGTCGCCCGTCCCCGCTCCCCGCCACAGCGAGAGTGACCGCGCGCCGGCCCGAAACCGCCGCAGGCCAAGACCACAGAGGCGGGGCTTAGCTGTGACGTCATAACGTATCACAGACTGACTGGTGATAGCCTCTACACACCGGATGAAAATCTTGCTCGAAATTTAACATTACGAGTCAATGACAAGTGCCTGAAATATTGAAATGGCGATAAAATATCTAAATTGTAAAAGTTTCGGCCTGTCTTGAAACGGCCATGTCCTGAGCTTGGTTGAAATTCCTTCACGCATTTAAAAGTAATCGCGAAAAATTAGGGTCTCAAGGGGTCTGGCGTTAACAGTAGGTCAATGAAATTCGGTCACAAGGTAGTTCCCTGATGGGGCTATCGAACGCCGTTTGAATTTTGAAAATCGGCCGGTAAATTTCCGAGGTCTCAGGGGGGGGGGCCGAAACGCCCCCCCCCCCTACGGGTGGTAGGGTCCGCCGATAGCCCTACGGGGCGCTTGATGCAGATTTGAGATGAAGCGCCACTACAGGAAGCGCCTAAAAGGAAATGGAGGGTCCACCCAGTACGAAACGAGTGCAGGAGCTAGTGCAGTGCTTAGTGCAGAGAAGTGCAAAGGACATCACAAAAAGGCGTATGTAGGTATATAAGAATTGTTCATGGGGAACCGGGATATAAATTGATTCACCGACCACTCCGACGCTGTGTACGGTCTCGACCGGCCTCCGGACTGGAACAACAAGCAACAGAGGTCTAGCAATGTAGTATGTGTTGTTCATCTTCTAACAAATGCTTTGCATTGTCAGCAGAGACTTGCATCAGCTTTTGGCAGACGGGTACCCCCGCCAGGACCGCTGAGCTCACTTGGGGGTAGTGTGGGGATTCCACAGGGATTCCTGTTCGTGCCGTCCCTCGGATTCCCCTGTGGTGCGCGGCAGGCTATCAGGATGTGGGGCACGGGAAATCTGTCCAACAGGCGCTTCGGTCGACGTCCGGCCTCTCGACTCTTCGCGTCCCACGGGCACGTCTTATCCGTGCATCAGGCATCCGTACACTTCACCCACTTTTCAAACCCTTGCTGTTGCCTGTATTTGTTTACATCCCTTTTAAGGGCTGCCGTTTTCGTCGTCGTGTACACGCGCCGTCCTGAAATCATCGGCGATCGGGTAGCGTCATTTTTGCAGGGTTGTGCTCGACTCAAAAAAATTTGCCGACTCGACTCATCATTCAACTTCAGAATGCCCTGACTCAACTCTGACTCAAACAAGGAGCTGATTTTTTCCCTTGACTCGACTCATGACTCAAGCAGCTCAATGAAAAGATGAGTTGACTCAAACTTGACTCAATTTTTTTGTTGAGTCAAGTGTGTTGACTCAAAATTGACTCCGATAAAAAAGTTGTTGAGCGGGGGGGGGGGGGTGAAAAAATCCGGCAGCAGGGCCAGGCCAAAGTTGTTAAGCGGGGGGAGAATGAAAAACTTATACTATATATTGTTTCTAGAAAGTTGAGTCAGCTGACTCATGTTCCTAAATGTTTTTGACTCAACTCAATGTCAAAAGTTTTTTTACTGACTCAACTCTGACTCAACTCAACACCTTAATATTTTTGTCCGACTCAACTCTGACTCAACTCAACAGCTCAACATTTTATCCGACTCGACTCAAATCTGACTCATTTGAGTCAGAGTTGAGTCAAATTTCTGACTCGACTCATGAGTCAAGCACAACCCTGGTCATTTGCCGCTCTTCCACCAGCTCCCCAACGCGACACTGACCCAACCTAACAGGGAGCCTACTGGGTGAGCTGTGACACTCCATCCAGTCGCGTATTCATCGCGGAAGATTGTTTTCGAAGATTGCTTCGAAAAACAACGCAAATCTGGCGTTGTTGGATGGTATAAACAACAGTGCACATTAAGCATAGGGGGCTAATTATTTCTTCGATGTGTCTTGATCACCGATTTGGTTTTCTCATTAGGTATATTTCCAACAAGACTCAATACAAATGAAGTTGCGAGCGATCATGTGGTCAGCGCCCGATCAGACACACATCTGAACTCACGGCATCATTTCGAATGCGGTGTATTGAGGCAATACCATACCCCATCACAACCAGTAACCGTGCATCCTTTGACTGGCCCCATCCAAGCATGAAGAACGGGAAAACAACTCACCTTGGGCTACCTTACGGTATTGAATGCTCAAATTGGACAATAAATAACCACCACTGCGACATGGAATCGTTTAACGTCTGACGTTGGTAATTGGTATACAAAAAAAAAAGACACGCTTAAAATTAACGACTTACAGTCTCAATGCTTGTGCATTTACGATACAAATGGTGAAAAGATGCAAATGAGCACAATATTTAATGATACAAGTGTAATATCAGAACAAAGTTCATCAAGCTGAGGATCGCGAAGAGAGCCTGGATTCCATATGTCAGGTAACCATACATGAAATAGATTCAAGTCTTCATTTATCGATATATCGACAATAGACATGCAGTACGTCTCGCTATCTATGAACCGTTTATGAGCTTACCACTAAGCCCATTTGGCACTTGAGAGCTGCTGTATAAACACTATAAATACGTTTCTAGGAATCACAAACAACTCGACTGCCCTTTCTTTGGCTGTTCTTCCGTAACTTGTCTAGCACTGCACGACTCAGTACACGAGACAAGGCATAGACGACACATTACCGCACCTCACTATAAGGCCCTGCGCCTACCGGGAACCAGCGACCCGTCATACTGCTTCGGACCCGAGAAACCAACCGAACCGAGACAGCACCCTGCCGCCACCAGCCGCCCAGAACAGACCTCCCCTCCACCAACGACCTCCAGCAGCGCCGTGATCAGGACGGCGCCCACTGGCACCGACCTCCAGCAGCGCCGTGATCAGGACGGCACGCTCCAGCCGTACGGCGGCGGCTGAGCGGCGGCGGCGGCTCCGGCTCCGGCTGCGGCTGCGGCGGGCGGCGCGCGCTGACTCCTGAACAGGCCGCGGGGCCGTGTGACGGTGACCCGCGGCGGGCGCGGCTCCCACTGGTCGGCGTCTGCCCAGCGCCAGCGC